ACACTCTACTCTTTATTGGTGAGAGTAATTGTGGGTAATTTATTACTTCATGTTGAGCCACTCTAAGAGAAAAAGAAAGTAGTCTTTTAGCCTTTACCAAAACAAAAAAAATGTAGTCTTTTAGCTGCTAAATTTCAATCAATACATGTGGGTGATCCCAAATCGAAGAAATGAAAGAATATCAAAGTACAAGTAATCATGGGTTAGAGATGATTAACTGATAATATTAACAATTCCCGCAAAGTTATAATACTGGAAGGGACAAGAAAACAATAATAAATTAGGACCATTCTTGTTCCACACTAAAAGCAGATATGAAAAGTGAGAAACTTCAAGTTTATAACTTGCCTATTTCCAGACGAATAGGGTTGGGGAAGAATTCCAACTATAGGTTGGTCAGTTGGAAATGGAAACTCAGCAGCTTCTGTAGAATAGAGAAAAAGACCGGTTGCATTAGGTTATTACATAAGCAAATAAAAATTACACATTCCATAATTAAATTATATTGATGTTGATGTCACCATGAAAAGAAATTTAATCATATAATTCTTCATGGAAGATATAAATATCAGAACTATCTTTCAAATTGTACCCTACAACTTCTGAAACCAAGGCCCAAGCCTTCTCAGAACAGATCTAACAGAAAAGAGAGAGACAATTTTGTGGCACAAATCATAGATATAAATAGCATCAACAACATTAACAATATTATAGGATCCTCCGGTAAAATGAGGTTCACATGAAATATATCTGATCACATCAATGTTGGGGAAACGTTCTATTTTGAAAAAAAATACCCTCGTCTATGGATGAAGCTCTTATATCTATATATTTAGCTTCGTCTGCGACGAGAATTGCAACATTAACTAGGAAAATCATACACTATAGAAGCAAAGAAATGATAAAATTGTAAGCTACAGTTATCAATCAGCAAACTGCAGAAACTATTCTGCATATATTACCACTTAAAGAATTTGCAGAAATATGATATGGCAATTGCAATAATTTTCCCTCCTCTGCATCATACTTCACCACAGCCACTAGAGCATACTCATCGCCAACATACCTGCAAGTTTTAATACAGCAAACAATTTATGAACCGAGCCTCTCCAGCCAATCAGTGGCTGCCTGAAAATAGTTGTAACAATTTTTTTCAGAAAGTAGTGTACATTAAACTGGAGCCATGGATTACAGAAAAAGCGGTTATATTTGTTTCCCATTCTAGACAATAAACTAGGGACCTGCTCTCGAGATTCCAAACCTGCCAAAATTGAGAAGTAATTGATCACTTGTTTAAAATTTAAATAAAAGATAGTTTCATGTTTAAGCACTTCATAGAATTTAAATTCTGGCACTGAATTATGAACAGCAATTTCCAAGTCAACAGTCTACTATTATCTGCTTCTATCCATCTGTATTCCCTCCTTATGATATTCACCCTTATTCAGGTGTTCATAGAGTGTATTTTTGTTATGATGGTTAAATTATTGAATCCAAAAGTGACCATTAATGCCAAATGCCGAATACTTAACATTATAAACACATCAATGTTGATAATTGCCTAAATATAACCGAAAGAAGATGCATATGATGCAGAAGTTTAATTGAGTCATCATGTGTCACACGGATGGAGTTGAGTTGGACACATGCAAAGGAAATTGCAGACTTGATAAAGAGCCCATACCTGAATATCATTATCATTCAAGATGCTCACCAAATAACCCTGGTTTTGTAGAAACTGCCAAAATACAGTATGAAGAATTAGTTTGCTGACCCAATAACTAATAAGACAAGAGTATAATATTCAAGGATGTGTTTGTGATTAAGAAAAAAATTGTTTTACCATAAAAGTTATATATCATTCAAAAAAAATGTTTCACCCTAAACACTTTACTATTGATATTTTATCCTTGTAACTAAGCAAGGGGAATGAATGGTGCACACAGAAACCTCAATGTATTTGTAAGGCAGTTGCTTCGGGGATATAAAGAGTCCTTCAATACCATCACCACCGATTACTTTAATCCTCCCATCCCTACCAAACAAATAAAAATCAAAACAACAATGTGATTTGTGTGATGCAGGGATATCATATCTCAAAATAGATGTACGTAATCTCATGCCTTCATTGCAATATCTACAAGCATGCTTCACCAAATATACATGTGTATTTTGCCATTCAAACGTTTTGGTACCACAGAAACGAATAGCAATTCCGAGAAATGTGGAACAGCAATGCTTAGTAGCAAGATACCTCATTAACCACACGACAGTGCGCAATGCTAAGTAGATTGGTTTTCGATCAACTCACACACCGAAAACAGCATAAACAAAAAAGAAGAAAGAAGAAAGTAGGTGCAACTCACAATGTTCCAATGGCCAAAAGGCGCTGAATCGGGTCGAAAGAAAGAATGGACGCCGTGGATGGGATGCCATAGTGAACTGCAACTCGCAGGTCCAAGTCTTCCGCCGTCAAACTCCCGCGTGGCAAATTATGCTGAAGCCAACAATTTCCAATACAAAATCCCAATTAAAAAAAATGGGCAAGTATCAGGCCAAATGTCGATACCAAGAGGCTCCAAATTTATATAATCCAAGTATTCGAGCATAAAACTACACAGAAATGAATAAAAAAAAATCATAAAAAATAATCCATTGATGCAATATCCAATTTTCCAGGATACTAACAAGATAAAGCATCGGACTTTAATCCAACCCAACAAAAAAGAAATGGAATTTTAACCAAAAAACGCAAATTACGAAGCTAAACTGAAAAATTCAAAAAACAAAAAAAAGAAAAAAGTGGCGGCGATCGATTGCTTGGGAATACGATTTTACCTGAGAGTTGTTTATCGCTTTCTGCAAAAGCCGCTTGGCGAACATTGCGAATTCGAATTTGCAGCTGAAATCTTTGGCTTTCTGCAAAAGCAGCTGGATTGGACTAGCGGAGGAGACTTTCTATGTTTGTTTCAGTGATCATACCGATGGCGTTCCTACTCTTAAGAGCTGTAAAAATTTCGAATCAGTCAACGACAAAAATTGAAATTAAATGAAAAAAATAAATAAAAAGGTGCTTAGCCGTTGTTTATGGGGGTTGTATCCTCTGCGGTCGCGATTATTTCATATTCGGTACGCAGTCGGCAATCCCTTCGTTGGAAGCGAAGGCAAAACGGAGTCGTTTTGGGCATGTTTGCTTGCATTTTGCATCATTTGGTTGACACGCATCCATTACAAATGGAGTAGACGAAAGTAGACATCACCGAAAGCGTCACTGAAAGCATTAGCAGTATCTTCTTTTTTTCTTTTTATACAAGCAATTTTTTACGTTCAATTGTAATTTAATTTGATCTGCAAGAAAACACTCGATTGCATACAAAGAGCACATTTATTTTACTCAAAGTGGTTACACTTATGTCTACAAAACATAACTCGTCATGTATCAACAACTTATTCTCATTAGAGCAAATTTTATAAAGAAAACCGAACTGAACCAAATCGGCCACCTTGTTCGAATCACCAATTGATGGGTTATTATGCCCACTTCTAGAGCTTACTTTGAAGTAGGGGTGGTAGTGGGTTATGTCGAGGTACTAATCATTCGGGACATTATTGGACTCCTAAAAAATAAATCTCTCCTTATTCCTACAATTATATTTTTAACATACATACGTAAATAGCTTTTAATGAGAATAACTTTTAAAAATAAGATATTTATTATTGACACTCTAAAGATCTAATTATGCACTTTAAAAATTTTATTTAGAAAGATAAATACTCTTACAAAAGTGGAGAATTAAATTTTAAAGTGCCAATAATAGATCTCAAAAAGAAAATAAGAAGAAAAAGTTTGTAATGCACATTCAAAAAAGACTTTTTAGCTAAAATAGTCTTTGAAACTAGCATAACTTTTCATTTTGGTATTTGAGATTTAAAATCGATAAAAGCAGTCTCTGAGTTTGCCCACCATCAATCATTTTGGTCATTTTGTGAAAATGATGTTAAATAAGGACTAAAATGAAAAAAATACTCTCAAGTTAATAAATAATGGGCCAAAATGATTTGTCAAGAATTGAGGGTATTTTTATCATGTTATCCTTATTTAATGGAGATTTTTCATGAAATGACCAAAATGATTGATGGTGGACAATCTCATAAACCACTTTTATCGATTTCAAATCTTAGGAATCAAAGCGAAGAGGTGTGTCAATCTCAGAAACCATTTAGATAAAATAATAATAATAATAATAATAATAATAATAATAATAAAAACCTTAAAAAATGATTAGCAATAATAGTACAGGCACAATGGGTAAAAGGAATATACTACAAGCCCAATAGACCTAACGGACCAAAAATAGGAAAAACTAAAATGGACCAACCGTACCCGTCAATCAACTGCTTATGCTATTTCAGCAACAATTCTATAACGACCAATTTCTCTGAAAAACAAATAAGGATAATATAAAAACAAAAAGTAGAAAATATAAGGTTTGTTCATTTGAAACGTATTTTAGAATAATTGAAAATATTTATGAAATTAATTTTTGTAAAAATACTAGTAAATTATGAAAAAAATACTTAAAGTGTTTCTTATAAGAAGGTATTATTAGTGTTTATTGCTTGATGTACTAAGTACTTTTAAAACTGATAAACATTTTATTTAAAAGACATTAAGTCATTTTAAAAAACTTTCAATTCAAATGAGTAGTCTTTGCTTGGAGTTTTGCATCTACACGTCTGTCTCATCTCATTAAGAGATTTTTTAGTATGTCCGAAGTACAAGATAGTACATCACGTGTAATTATACAAATAACGGGACACTTGTGCTAAAATTAGTAGCTTAAAACAATAAAACTTCCATCCACTCATACAGTGACACGTGGTATAACTAATACGAATGTAGAATGAAAAAATGAATAATGTTAAGAAGACTAAATTTTATTAACTAAATAACATAAAAGTTAATCATTAATAAACGTGCTCATTAATTAGTGAGCCCGTTCGATTTGCTAATTTAGTGTACATATTTTGTTCTCCATTTCATTGCTGATCCGCCACAACCATTACGTATTATCTTTCGAACTTCATCGCTATCCAAAATAATTCCCTCCTCCTTCTCCAAAGAACAGTTCGACCTCTGAGCTCCCAATTTTCCTCCTCACCACCATGACAGTTCCGCCGTATCAGGGTAAAATATTCAACTATTTGATTATTTTTTATTGGGTTTTAGTTCAATTTTTTTTAGTTTTTATTTTATGAATTTTAACAATCAGAAATGATGGGTTGAACAATTCTATTTTTTCACAAATTACAGTCATATGGGATCTCTTAGAACTTGGAAAGATCACAACTTGATGGAAATTATACTGAAATTTCGATTTGCTATTTTGTGGGTTAATTCTTGAGTTAGCATTTGGAATTAAGCTCTTGGTTTGAACTTGAAGCCTCTGGTTGTTGATTTGGGTATTCTGCAATTGTTATAAGCTAAGTATGTGGCTCTGATTTCTAATTTTCGACTCGGTTTAACGATTGCTATTGTTTTGCTGATGTCCTGCAGATGATGTTAAGAATAATGAGATGACGAATTACTTCAATTCCCCTGCATTGGATGTTTCAGTTGTTTTTCCGCAAGCAACGCCGGCTTCTACTTTTCCTCCCTGCAGTAAGAACATTGACCATCATTATATAATAGATATCGTATAGATAAACTTGTTTGTGTGTCTATGGAGAAATTGTCTTTTGTAAAACAGTTCAGGATTTCTTGTTGTTATGTAACTTATGTGAATCCAGACTATTGATTCGAATTTTTCGGATTTGCGTTTCATCTTGTCTCACTTTTTGCATTCTGGTTTGTTTACTTTGTTTCCTTGTGAATATTTAGTACATTGCTCGTGCACCTCTTTAGTTGTTGTGATTTTGATTTGTAATTTGAAGAAACGGGCAACTTCAGTAATTAACTTCCATATTCTTATCTCTTGGCCTTAAAAATTTACAGCTTCGGATTACTACCAGATTGATGATCTATTGACACCTGAGGAGCAGGCTATTAGGTTGAGAGTAAGAGAGTGTATGGAGAAAGACGTGGCTCCAATTATGGCAGAGGTATCCTTTTTACTCTAACCATTTCTGCATTTCATATTAAGGCTAAAACAGTCAATATTTAATTATTTAATATACATTCGTAAACAATGAGATTGATCTGCGAACTTGTTTTTTCAGTATTGTGAGAAGGCAGAGTTTCCATTTCAAATTATTCCAAAGCTTGGTGCATTGCGCATTGCTGGTGGGACAATCAAGGTGCTTAATACATAACTTAATAAGTTATTTTTAAATCTTGGGTTCGATAATTTGTTGGATGGGTTGGTAATTTCGCTTGTGGCCTTCTTTCTATCAGGGTTATGGGTGTCCTGGTCTTTCTATTACGGCAAATGCTTTTGCTATAGCTGAAATTGCTAGAGTTGATGGAAGTTGTTCTACTTTCTTCTTGGTTCATTCCTCAGCAGCGATGCTTACTATTGGTTAGAATTTGGATAATTTTATTTTTGACTTTTTGTTTTATAAATAACCAAACCTTCACTGAAAAATGATGTTGTTCACAAGTCAAGGCTGTAACATTTCTGGACTGTGAAGAATAGCATTATGTGGGTCGGAGGTGAAGGGAAAATATGAGATTTATGTGGGATTTCTATTGACTAGCATGCATATACAATTCAAAATTTATATACGAAAACAACGGAAGCATGTCATCAATTAATATCAAAGCTCTAGTCATGAAAATCCCCTTCAAGATTCATAGGTTTATTTATGATGCATCAAAATAATTTATTGAAGAACAAAGTTTAGGAGTAGTTTTATACCTCTTGATCTAGATCTTAGACCAAGGATTGACCACCTCCAAGCTCTTTGCTCCTTGAACTCCTTGAGCCTAGCCTCCCTCCTTGCCTCCTCCACTTTGTTGAGAATGAGTGCTCCTAGGTCCTCTTCAAGTTTCCAAAATTGAAAACCTCTAAAGATCCTCACCCACTTGTGTAGTGAGAAGGATGAAGGAATAACCAAAGGGGTGATAAAATGATTAGCTTAAATCCCCTTATGGTGCCCGGCCCTTTGTTGTTAGAGAGAGTTATATTTTCTTTTCTCTTTTGTGTTTTGAACACTAAGAAAAACCTCCTTTCTTCTTTCATTATAATGTTCCTTTTATTACATAAAGAAACAAGTCAACAATTGACCTTTTCTCTCCCTCTCTTTGGCCGGCCTTATGTGTTTGGTTTGGGCTTTGGGCTTTTAATTATTTCAAGTCATCCAATGCTTGAATAAAAGCCCAATGGGTTTTGGCCCAATGGGCCTAATTAAACCCGAACGTTTCTTTAAGCCCAAAACGATCTTTTATCGCTTTTATGATTTCTTTAGACTTTCTAAATTAATCACAACACTTAATTAACCCAATTAATTATTTCCATCATCCATTAGTTACTCACTACAAGAGTGTATTGGTGAACAATCTTTTAGGTTCTAATTAGCAAGGCAGTGAGGTGATTGGCATCAATCCAATTGATTATATTTAATCCATCCACTTAGTGAATTAAAACTTACTTTTAATTCTCCTTCTTCTTTGATGACTACATTTAATCATCTTAGAAGAACTCACGAGCCATGAGTGACATCTAAACATATATCATGGCTACCCAAGCTAATGTAGAAGTTTATTCGGAGAACCTATTCAGTTGGAATTACAATGTAATTCGATCCTTCTCTAAAACAATACTCTCAATCACATCACTAGGGTATGGATATAGTATGTCAAACCCCTAATGTGATTATGCTTTCTTATATGATTCAATTGAGTCGCATAGGAACGTTTTCCTTTATTACGCTCGAGACTTCGGCCGAAGATTCCCGAATCATATCTCAGAGTATTCTTCCTCTCATAACGAGGATTAGAGATTCCTTTTTGATCATTCACATGCCTACATGTTTAGATACCTTAACCCCAACAATGCCGTGGACACTCCAATGGAATGTCGTTTGACATTATCAAAGATCAAGGACCTAAGCATTAGACATCTATGATGTCTTAGGTCAAAGGATTACTTACATTATTCCAACCTTCAGAGTTACTTGCTTGACATGTGAGTAGACCTCCATGCAAGTACTCTCGTTCGATTGTGTTCAGTGAACTCATTCCCTTAATGAGCACCTACATACTTGTCTTAGTGTCACTACACGAATGGGATGAGACTTTCTATCCTTCCTTTTGAAGCAGACATAGTATGTACCGGTCTATGCATTGTCAGTATCCCTCCGACAATCCTATGACCAGGAACCTTTTTGGACATAATGGTTATGAGAAGAAGGTCTCTGTAGTCTAATCATCATTAGATTACTTCTTCCATCAATCCATTGTCCATGGATTCATCATTTAGGACATATTTCGTTCATTGAGATAGTCCTAATTAGTATCTTTGACTTCCGATGTATAAGAGTCATATATATACATCATTACATTGTCCTGAAAGGTTTCTTCCAAAGATTGACTTTCAGGGCATATTTCCAACAGGAGGCTCAAAAGCAGAAATATCTACCTTCTTTGTTTGAATTTAAGACTGTCGCCTGCTGGGTAAGATGCTCTTTTATGATATTCGTATCTAATATCTTTTTATGCTAATGTCAAGATACTCAAATCTGTTCATCTGCATGTTAAAGGGTTTGACTGAGCCTAACTATGGAAGTGACGCGAGTGCCTTGACAGCGACAGCAACAAAGGTCAAGGATTTCAACCCTCTCATTTGCTTCTTTATTTCTGTTAAATGGTATTATCATGCTCTTTTGGTTTTTGGGTGTCATGGCTCCGATCATGCTATATCATGTATTCTTGTGTTGTTGGGATCGTCAGGTGGAAGGAGGTTAGGTACTTGAAGGCCAAAAGCGATGGATAGGAAACAGTACATTTGCCGATGTCTTGATTATTTTTGCGAGGAATACAACAACAAATCAAATTAATGGGTATGTAAAAACATAAACATGCGAACAACCTCTCAATATGTGTTCGGAACTTGTTTGTCAAGCTTCAAAGTTATGCAGAATTTACGATTATTTGTTTCTGATTATGCTTCTCCTTGCTTTGGTGTTTAGATGCCTAGATGCATCCAAAATTTAGCATGATGGTTTTCCGTAGCAGCACTCTCATGTTGAATGCTTTTTTTCTCCTTCTATTTCAGATTTATAGTAAAGAAGAATGCCCCTGGACTGACAGCTACAAAAATAGAAAATAAAATTGGTTTACGCATTGTTCAAAATGGAGATATTCTCTTAAATAAAGTATTTGTTCCTGATGAGGAAAGGCTACCTGATGTTAATTCTTTTCAGGATACTAACAAGGTAAGCTGAAAAGCTGCATTATTGCAATTTGTTTAATCTTCTCCCTTTAGAGTAATTTAGACATAAATTCTACTTCTTATTCGAGCTTATGTTTAATAAACAAGACATGTTTAAGCTTGACTAGAGATTCATATTGGTCTTTGTAATAGCTCTTTATTCCCCTTTTGAGAGATAAGGCTTGATACTGTGATGACGTTATCCCAAAGTTATAACGACATTATCCCAAAGTTATAACTCTGAATCTTCTTTCTACGAAGCATGGAGCAAAGTTTTTCATTCTGTTGCCCTAATATAAAACAGATGTGCTATGGTCTCTCATTTCTCACACATGTGAGAGTGACACGTATAATGTTGTCTTCATGAATATTTATTGATTTGATGTTGCTTTAAACTACTGAATACAGGCTCTTGCTGTTTCGCGTGTCATGGTCGCCTGGCAACCTATTGGTTTATGCATGGGGGTCTATGATATGTGTCGCAGGTATAAAAACACGCCTAAGCGGCGCGCGCTCTCTCTCTCTCTCTCTCTCTCTCTCATCTTCCATTTACCGTAATTCAAGTTTCCTCTGTATTAAGTCTAAATTATAAGGATTTGAAAGGTATCTGAAGGAGAGGAAACAATTTGGAGCCCCTCTTGCAGCTTTCCAGATCAACCAAGAGAAACTTGTCCGTATGCTTGGTAATGTTCAAGCTATGGTTCTTATAGGTTGGCGCCTCTGCAAGCTGTATGAGGCAGGTAAAATGACTCTTGGTCATGCTAGCATGGGGAGGGTAGAAAAAAATGACATCCTGATGCATTTAGTTATCCTATTGCTTATGCATTCAAAATACTAAATGGGTGCAATTTTCAGTCATGGATCACTCTGAGGGCAAGGGAAACAGTTGCTCTAGGGAGGGAATTACTCGGTGGCAATGGAATCTTATCTGATTTTCTTGTTGCAAAGGTAATTTCCTGCTTATCTGTGGATTTAAAATTTTATATTGAGAATCTTTGGAAGGATTGGAAAACATATTACGAGGGTTTGATTAGATGAATTTTCAAGCTAGGACTTGAAGGCAATGATAGGATTGATTTTAAATTTGCTGTGTCTTATTGACTTGTATACCTATTCCTCTGTCCTACCGTTGTTGTTAAAGGGTTAGGTAACATTTGCTATCGACTCCTTTAGTGTAGGAATTTGATTGCATTGGATCTTAAACGTGCCATTGACAGGCTGTTTCTTTTGCGAAGGGTGTTTGTTATATGTGCACAACTTTAGTTATTTCTGTCACCTTTTGAATGCATTCATTTTGTGGTCGCCTTGCAGGCTTTCGGTGATTTGGAACCCATCTACACATTCGAAGGCACGTATGACATCAACGCCTTGGTCACCGGTAGGGAAGTCACTGGCATTGCCAGCTTCAGGCCATCTATATCGACCCAGTGAAGCTGTCTGTAGTGTAACTTCTCTGAATCTCAACTCCCTCCACAAGTTTCTTTCATTAAGAACAAGGTTGTCTGATGTCAAAAGGGATGAATTGAATTCATCCATTGACAACCAAAAATAAGGACACCATATAAATTGTTGTTTTGAGACATTGTATCGGTATATAGTTCTAAAAGACAAATAAATAATCCTAGCAGACCCCCAAATTATTCGCCAAAAAAACGCCATACCTGGGCTTGTTCGCCCCCGGCAATACACCGTGGGCGAACAAGTTTACGTCCAAATGAGTGACAAAGGAAATGAACCTTTTGAAACCTTATGTCCAAAGATTGCTAGAACTCCGTGGTTGGGTCAAGGGAAAGCTTGCCAAGGGCGTTTGTATTGACCAGATTATCCTACCACAACAGAAGCAAAAGCAAAATTCCCACCAAAAGCTGTTGGGTTTTGCAGGATAAGATTTTAATGGGTAGCTAAATGTCATAAGCAGTTACATCTTTTGACTGTAACCTTCCAAAATGTGGTCTTCTCCCCTCTCAAGGCCAAGGGAGCCGTTACGCACCCATGAGATTCGAAGACATTTTTAATCAACAACTATCGTCCATGAGATAAAAAGTTGCTCTTAAATGCTTGGAGTTTGGTCTAATTGGCCTCCAAGTGGGAGAAGCGTTTGACTAGAAGTGTCTAAACAAGTTTCATTCTCTTGATCATCCGGTAACATTTCCTTAAGCGATTGGAATTTGATCTAATTGGACTCCAAGCAGGAGAAAAGTACAAGTAGAAGTCTGGTTGAGTCTCGTTGTGTTGACCATACATTCTAAACATCATACCTTTTTTAGTTCTGGCGAGTCTCGTTCGGTTGACTATACATTCCAAAAATCATACATTTTAGTAATATTTTTGATGTCTAATCGAAACTTATAAAGTGTCATTTTTCTCTGTAACTAAAACAAATTACATCATCATTTCCAATTCAGTGCGTTCCAAATGTAAATTTATTGTGTCCCAATTTCAAAACTTTCCTTTATATCAATTATATTAAAATCCATTTTCATTATCCAAGCTCCATTGAAAAATGCAATCATATTAAATTTACCATTACCATCCATAATCAAAATTATTAGCCAAAATTCTACCACCAAAGTATCAAGCTCAAAATTCTACCACCTACTACTAATTGGACTCCAACCACCACCGCCTCTGCTCATTTCACGCTGCTTCTCGGCGTCCCTCTCTAACCCCAAACTCTGAATCTTTAGCTGAAACTGCATCATCGCCGTAAAAAATTTCACTGCCTGCCCCGAGCTCAGCAAATCCACCAGCTTCGTCCCCATCGTCGTCCTCAGCAAGTTGGCATTTTCCACCACGGTCTCCAATGCTGACTTAAGCGACTTGATCACCGCGTCGTCCTTCACGATCTCCCTGTGGCCGGCCCTCCCGTACCGCCTCACCGCATCCATGAACGGCGGCGCCGCCACGCTCTCGTGAATCTTGGCGAGCTTGTCGTTGAGCGCTCGCTCCTCGACCCGAGTCGCCTCCCTCAGTCGGGCCATCCTGACCCGCTGCTGGTCGCTCAAATCGGGCACCGACTCGGTCACGAGCCGGAATACGATACCCGGTTTGTACCCGGCGATCCAAAGCAGGCTCCTTTTGTAGGAAGTATACCACGTCGGCGAGAAAACCAGTAAAACATCCCGCTGTCCAAGTCGCGATTTCTCGTTGTAATACTGCTGGTAATGGAAGAGAACCCGAGACACCAAATCTCAGAGGTCTTCATCTTGGGCCTCGTCGATCGTCTGCTGGGCCGATAAGAGCTCATCGAGGAAGTGTTCTTGCCGGACCAGCCAGCCCTCGTAGAATGCCTCGAATGTGTTGGACGCATTGCCGCTGTGAGAACCGTTTGTCATAACCAAAACAAAAACAGCAAAGCTTTCTGGGGTTTTAATGGCGACGAAAAACAGAGAGATGGGTGGGATTAAATAGGAGGTGGGATTCGAAAGGTGGGGGATTTCTTTTGGGATTTTGGTTTTTGATTTGCTTTGTGGGCAAGTAACGCTAATGGGTGAGGATACTTCGAGCGTAAGGTTCATGCATTTTGTTTTTTTTTTCAGAGAGAGAGAGAGAGAGAGGAAAACAGAGGAGGTGAGGCTCAGACGGAGACGTGTGTGCAGTTGGATGCCATTAGAGAGAGAGAGAGAGAGGGGGGTGATGTATATAACTGAAAGATCTCGGTGGGTTTTGTCTCGTAGTGAAGCCAGAGGAGTATGAAGGTGTTCAAAGTGGTGGGAGAGGAAGGAAAGGGGAAATATGTTTTGGTTTGTGATTCTTTTGAGTGTTTTTTGCACGTGTTTTTGTCAAAAGAGGGGAAGAGGGGGGTGGGGGTGGGGGTGAGGGTGGGGGGGGGTGGGTAATGGGTGTTGGTTTTGATTTGACAAACAAAGGGCAGAAAAATAAGGGCAGAAAAGATGAGGGGTTTGGTTTGTGGCTGCCCGGATGATGGGGCAACACGTCTCGAGGCTGCCAAGTGGAGGGATTGTGTGAAGCCAAGTCATTGATTTTGAGTTTTGGGGGTGGTGGGGAGGTTAAACCCTCGGGGGAGGGATGTCTTTCTAAATAGTCAATGTTTGCATTGGTGCAAGCGGGGGGAAGTTAAATGGCTAAGTACAAAAGAAGTGTGAAGGATGGATGCTTTGGTTGTCACTTGTTGGTTCGGCATGAACTGGACTATTTCGATGAGATGGAACTCATTTTTCAATTGTACTTTAAGGCATGCGTACTTATTTTTCGGATGAGTTAATAAGGGATTATGTTATCTTTTTATTCCTTGCATTTTAGTAAACTCATGATGTCAGGAGTGAGAATTATACTCATACTTGCATTCTCGTTCTTGGTAAGTAAAGAGACCACTATTGAGTTGGATAGCAGTTAACCATATTGTTCTTCCATACAATAGTATACAATTGACTTGAGGTAGCATTTTTGTTGCATGAAAGACTCATATAAAGGGGATAGTCTATTGCGCGCGGGGGGGGGGGGGGGGGGGTGCCGGTGGCAGCTAAAAGAACTCTTTGGATACAACATTATTCTGCATTTAAGTGGCTGGTTTAGGCCACACAATGGGTCAACCACTTACTAGATATTAAACATTCTCGCTATTAATGTGAATCAAATATGGGACCTCAAACTTACAAATGAAAATCAATACTGCTTCATTGTATCACTAGTTAGACTGACTCGAACTTGATCTTATTATGTTTCCCAGTCCTAGTCACTAGCGTGTGTGATGATGGGAGAACATTTAAGTGGGGTGCAGCTCCAAGCAATTGCTGATTGCTGTGAAGTTGAAGGGTAGGTGACAAAATTGCCTTGACTTTTAGTGATGAGAGAATTTGGCTGCCATGAGAAATGTTCAGCAAACAAGCTGATGCGCTGCTTGAAATGAGAAACTTGGTTCATGACGTGTACCAATTGCTGCAAGTGATCATCTTTTAGGAGATCCTGCTGTTGCCAATTGGCATTTTTGACCAGCCAATGATGGTTGTGGTGGCTTCTATGTGGCACAAATATTTAAAAAAAAAACTCGTTTAGAAGTGATTTTCAAATAACTGTAAGCGTTTTAAGTGAAAATATTTTTGAAAACAGTTTTTAGTAAAAACACAAGTAAACCCTAAAAAAGTACTTCATGTACTTTTAGAATTCAAAAACATTGTGGTTTTTTTAAGCAAAATGGTCATTTGAGATTTAAAATCAATAAAAGTAATCCATGTGATTGTCAACCGGCAATTATTTTGGTTTTCTGTGCAAAATCTCAGGGAAATTGAAGAAACCAACAGTTCAAGTGGAAGGGTTGATTTGACAAAAATATCTGCAATTTAATTGAGATTTTTCACGAAATGACCATAATGATTGACGATGAGCAATTTTATGGACCATTTATATCGATTATAAATCATAGGGACCAAAGTGAGTAGTTATACCAATTTTAGAGACCATTTTAACTAAAAACCAAACATTTTCTCTAAAATCGCTTTCAATTGTATTAAAACAAATTTGTATCTTCTTATCACCTCAACAACTCAACAAGTCTCAATCTTTTATGCATGAAGTGGGAAATACAATGAGGTTTGAAATTGTGCGGCGACCGACAATAAAACAATTTGTCAATTATTTATCCTCGTTCGTAAATTTGTGTGTTTCTGTTTGTTGTACACGTCAGAATGATTCGTTGAAATATACATTTAACAACTCTAATGTACTAAAAATGTATTATACACATACGTGCGTATTGAAATATATGTTTTCCAATAATCTCACTCACGCAAATGATCTATGTTCTTAAGAAGAGATGTGAATAATATTTTTGTAAATTCACACTTATATGACTCTTCACATTCCATAGAGCTTGATCGAAATCTGAATGGTTCGATCATCTAACAAAGGTGTTCATTTGTAGACCATAAGTTTTGAATCACATAGTAATGGGGTCCTTTCTTTTGACTACCCTAATCTCGGGGGAAGGGATCGGACTCGGGAGCAAAGGGTAGGACACACAACGTAGCCAAAATCATTAAGCGGGGCGTACTCAATTGAGATTTTGAAAGATTTTTAAGAGTATAGCGTCGACTTACTGAGCAATCTTTAGCATGGAGTCCCCTTCAGTAGAAGATAAAAAGGAAATGCCAAGTTCATCTACTGAATCTTAAATCAGATATGAAATTGGATTAACAAAGCTCCAAGAACACCGAGGAGTTCAAACATCCATAGATGCATGCCACATACAAAGATTACGAGTGAGAATTATGGAAGTCATTAATTCCTTAACTAGACTAGCCACAGAATGAGAGTAGGTTGGAAACGTATCGAACGAGAAAGTACAACAGTCAAACATACAAGCAGCAACAAGCAAGTTTCCTAAGAAAAATACCTGATTAGAATATTGGCTAAGTCTCGATGATGAACAAAACAAAATGATTTCCAGAAGCTAAGCAAAACATGATCTGTTTTTGCAACCATGCACAAAAATAATAAAAGTGGTTTACTTTTGTCACACCAATTCATCAATGCAAAGTAGTTCATTGCCCCATAACTCCAATACCAAAAAAAACCCAAAAAATCCAAAAATTTTAATTTCTAATTACTCGGTCAACTTCTGGGTGCTTCCGATGTTTGCCTAATTCCCATCTCAGAAAACAAATTGTGGGAATTGCACATGCTGTGTAAATAAATGAAACGATTAATAAATTGAACAGAACAGGAACCCTAAAACAAGTAATCGAATGCGCATTCGGCTAGAAATTTGAGTTTTAGATGGAAATAATCAAAATACAACAGTAGTTTTCTACATATGCGAAAACTAGAGAGGAAGAACGAGAAGGGATGCTACTGTAACAAGGGATGAAGGGATTGGGGGAGCTGGGCTTGGCTGACATAGGGGTAAATGGAGAGGTTTTGACTCACGGTAAAAACGAATTTCTACCACATTATCGTTAAATACTTGATCCACTTCCCTATTGATAATATCGTTTGTTTAAAAAAAATTCATATAACAAAATTTGTTTTTCTTATTTACCAATTATGTTGTAAAGGGGGACGACCTGTTATAATAAAATAAATTTATTTGCGGAAAACATAAAAGAATGGAATAATGGGTTTTTGAGGCCTGCTATCGTATTTATCTGCCTATAAAATCAACTCGATCAAATGTTTTAGAAAGAACACGACACAATATAGAAATTCATGTAAGCGATATCAAGGCTAGAGAGAAGAAAAAAAAGTGAGAATTATCTTTATATTCCTATTATTTGACATAACAAAAGCCTAAAAACTAAATATGCAGTATCAATTTCAAGTTAAATCTTGACCATTCTTGTCTATCTCTTTGAGTGTTTGGACTTTGTTTTAGGAGTGTGCAAAACTTGGATAAACAATAGGCATAACGTCAGGCTTAACTGTATCCGCAAGGCTTATTCGCATATCCCTTTTGCACATTGTATGTCGGGGCAAATAGATTATGAACGGCAACATATTTATACGTGCCTTAAAACAATCTTTCATCCTTCGTCACAACCATAACCCACATGCTACCAAAAAAAAAAAAATCCAACAAAACTTGTGTAGCACATGCAACCATCTGGGAAGAATATATGAGACTGAAATGTTATAAACTGCTTCAGCATTGAGTTTATCAGATTCTAAACAGGATAGACATAACCAAGACAATTACAAATAGCTCCACACAAATAAGATTTTGAAAGCTTCAAGTCATACAAATGAAAACTTCGTCCCTATAAAACAACCGCTAACATAAAAGAGGCAAGGTTCAAAACGATGGTAGGAAAGGTACAGAAAAACAAGAAAAGAAAAACCACAAGCAGCATATCTTTGCCATTGTTTAGCCTTCTTGAACTTTGAGGTACGAGTCTTTAATTGCACTCATTTTACCAACAACCATATTCAGAAGCATCCGCTCCCTTGGTGATACTGCACAGCAGGAAAGTCCTATCTGCATCACAGCAAACAAGCATTCCTCTACCTTTTTTGCTTTCACCATTCCATGATTGTTACGTCTGGGCAGCGCAGTCCTTTCGTATCTGTCATCGTTAACACTACCATCAGCTTCGAGGTCGAGGAGCAATGAAGGGTCAACAACGTCCATGACATGGTCGGGCAAACCTATGGCTGCGAATTTGTAAATGCTTAGACCTTCGATGAACATGTCATCAGTAGGTGTTTTTCCTGTGAACATTTCTAGCAAAAGTATCCCGTAGCTGTAAACATCTCCCTGTATGGAAACTTGGCCTCCCATGCCGTACTCTGCCATGACATACATATAGACAATAAGATGTCACATGCAATTGACTATTAAAATTGATATCTTATTTCAGATTAATGTTACTTGTTTCCAGGA